CTCTTAGCTCATAGAAGAATAAAAATCTGAAGATGCAGAGGAGCTGGGAGGAAGGATGAAATACAATACACATCAGCTGCTAAAGTAGCACTCGGAGGAGTTAACTATAGCCTTAAATACTGAAATCAACAACAAAACAGAAAAGAAACGAAGTATCCAATCAAAAAGAAAAAAGTATAACAAAATAAACCCAGGGAGATGATCTGAGGGAATTAAAAAAGTCAAAGTAGACATTAACGAACTAGAAAACAAAAGTCATAAAACTAATAGAGGAGTCCTACCAAATAAACCACCACACCATCTGATCTAATCAAGAAAGGGGGGAGGGGAGAACAAATATACAAGAAATAATAGAGGAATAGCCACAGGGAAAATTAAGGCTGATAAGAGACTACCTTCTCAGCTATGCAAATTGACTTAACCTCAATGACTAGGATAATTTTCTAGGGAAACAGATCAAAATGAACTCTAGAAGAAACAGAAAATCTATACTGATCATTACCACAGAGCAGAGAAAGTTGTCAGAGGGCAATGGTCCCCCAAACACATTAGATTTAAAAGTTTCATAGGAAGATTCTACCAAGTCTTTAAAGAACAGACAATTCGAAAGATAAATTGGTCTTAGTATAGAAAAAGAAAAAATTTGTTTTCTGAAACAAGCATGCCATTGATAGGAAACTAACAGACTACGCATACACACATCTACAAACAGTACTTGGATATCAATATAAAGGAGTTCATCATACTATTCTCAACTTCTGTATATGCTTAAAATTCTCCATAACAAAAAGTTAAAATAGGGGGCCGGCCCCATGGCCGAGTGGTTAAGTTCTCGCGCTCCGCTTCCGTGGCCTGGGGTTTCGCCAGTTTGGATCCTGGGCGTGGACATGGCACCACTCGTCAGGCCACACTGAGGCAGCGTCCCACATGCCACAACTGGAAGGACCCAAAACTAAAAAATGTATAACTATGTACTGGGGGGATTTGGGGAGAAAAAGCAGGAAAAAAAAAAAAAAAGATCGACAACAGTTGTTAGCTCAGGCGCCAATCTTAAAAAAAAAAAAGTTAAAAAAATGTTTACTGGGGGAGAAAAAGATTCTATTTAGATACCATTTTTCACTTATCAAAAGTTTGATAATGTGGTGAAAGCGTAGGAACATAGGTACTCTCAAACTTCTAGTGAGAGAATAAACAGACATCCTCTGACAATGCTTATCAAAATTTCAAATACACATCTCCTTTGATGTACTAATCCCATGTTTAGGAATTTGTCCTATATACACACTCGTTCATGCACGAAATGACGCATGCAGTAACTCACTGTAGCACCGGCTGTCACAGAAAAGACTGGAAACGATCTACTAGCCATCAACAGAGAGTTGGCTAATGAATTATAGTATGCTCATATAAACAAAATCTCAGGAGCCATATAAAAGGGAAATTCTGCAGATATGGATATGGAAAGTTAAGGCATTAAGTTGAAAAAACAAGGTATAGACAAAAATATAACAAGCTGCCACGTGTGCAACAAGAGGGAGGCTAGTGGACAGAAGTAGGAAGCTGACTTTTCTACGTCCTTTTGCACGTCTGAATTTGGAACCACGTGACCATAATCTCAGACCAAAAAGAAAATCTCATTTTTAAAAATCTCACTCTTTAGAAGGCACTCTTGCCATTACAAATTCATAATCCACTTAGAACACTTGCTATTCTTCCTACAGTTGCTATTCTTGCTACACTTGCTAACTATGTGGAAGGCCAAATTTCAAATAAAGACTGAATTCAAGAAACTTTTATTATTTTAAAGGGCAAAGAGAAATACGATGCACAGATGAAAGGGAGACAGTAGTCTAGATCCAGAAGCTCATCTAATTAGTGGCTCTCAACCCTGGTTACGCTTTAGAATAACCTGGGAATCTTCTAAAAATACCAACGCCTGCACACCACCCCAGTTCTTTTACATTAGAAGTCTGGGGGATGGGCCCAGGCACGAAAACCACTGATCTAAGTGCTTTATGGCTGAGGTCCTCAACAGAGGGGCAGCGGAGGATTTTGCTCCCCCAGGGGCCATGGTGATGTCTGGAGACATGTTTGGTTGTCCCAATTGGGGGGAGAGGGTGCTACGGGCATCCAGTGGGTAGAGGCCAGGGAGGCTGCTTTAGTACACCTCCCACAATGCCCAGGACAGCCCCCCCGACACAATGACCTGTCCCAAAATGTCAAGAGCGCTGAGACTGAGAAATCCTCCTTTAAAATAAAATCACCGCTTCCGAAGTAACAACCAATTCTAGTCCCCACTCTTAAGGAAGATCATCTCCTTGTTTACTAGTGTGGATATATTAGTATAATGAAGCTATTTCAGTAGCCATAGAAACTGCAATTTATTTGTTGGCATGGTTATAACAAATACTGTAAACATAAAATTCCTTGTATATCCTTTCTCTGGTCCCTCTTATGTCCCATTTATACAGCAGCCAGGGAGAAAGTCAAAGTTCACAAAGTGGCAGCCTGTGGGCCAACATGGGCCATGCATCTATTTTGTTTGAGCCCCGGGTCTTTTAAAATGTACTGAATTGGTGGCAACCAGCTGCCCCTTCTGGAGCGAGCATATCCCCAGGAGCTTGCCACAGTCCCCATCTGGCTAGCTTCATGGAGTCATCTGCAGCTCCCCACCTGGTGATTTACGCATTTGAGGTGGCCCTCCCCTGCAGTTTTCTCCAATCATACAGGACCATAAAGCTTCTTTCTCCTTCTTCCTCCTCACCTTAAAAACATCCCCACACCCATTCTAAATTCTCAAACTCCCACATCACTTGCCAAAAGAGAACTTCTATCAAGAGCTAGAAGAACTAAGAGAAAGGTAGCAGTCGAGATGGCCTTTGTGTGACAACACTCTTTTTCTAGTTGTTGTCATTAACGATAGGCTGCCTGTCACCTGATTCATCTCTGGATATTACAACCTAGGCTTGTAGTTTCTAGCATATTCCACTACAATTATATATAGCTCTTTCGTGAGCTTCCTTATAAGGAAAAGACTTCAATTATTAGGTTTTTTCCATTATCTCAGATTAGTGTATCCCTCCGCCCCTCCTAAAATAGGTCAGAAGCCTTTTATGGGAAATATCTATCAAAAGATTTGGGGATTTTCTTTCAAAAAGTTCATCCCTTTTCCTTTGAAATTATAATCACAAAGTTTTGGAGCCGTGCTTTACAGATGACCTGATACAATCCACACATTTAATTAACGAGGCAAATGAACCCCAGTGAGGTTCAGTCACTTAGCCAAGGCCACATTCTTCAGTTGGTGGCAGAGCAAGAATTAGAACATTTGTTCCAAGATACTAGTGCCGTGGATTTTCCATGATAACACTATCCCTCACTGTGGTTTTCCTACTCAAATGACATCCTTGCCAAGACATCTATGAATACGGGTAGCTACTAGCTGCCACAGAAATAAATCAACTGAAATTTCAACAAGCTATTAGGGCTATTACTTCAACCTCGAGGGTGGAAGGAAGGAACTGGGGGCTTCTGGATTCCTTTTGTTCCTTTTATTGTGAATTAACCTAGCTCGGTTTATCCCAATGAAAGGCTAATACCTCCACAATCTTCTCTAAACCATAAATTAGAGATGGAAAACATACTATTCATAGCAACAGTGACATTTTCTTTCTAAACTCTGAAATTAAGAGCTGCCTCAAACCTCTAAAATTCTCACAAGTGGCCAGAGATGATAGAGTAAAACTACTGAAACGCTTGGGGAGTGAAGTTTAAGATGCAACACAGATCAACATCTCATTGAACTTTGACATTCCTCAGCATTCTCTGGCAAATTGGTTGTTCAAAATTTAATTTGGTCTCAACTTTAACCTATTCCTCTCTTCCTATCCCAACTTTTTTTAAGTATGGACAACATCACATTTTGCATATCAGGTCTTCCCTGAATGTTCCAGCTACTCTGCATAGTTTTTATGCCCACCTGATACTATCCCTTGATATTTACATAAAGTTCATTAAACGAACAGACGCCTCATTATTTTCCCTTGAGAGCTTAGAACATATTTGCTGTTCCATTTTATTTTCCCCCAAGGACGCTGAGTTCCGTTCTGATACCTGGGTGCGCACTTTTTTACTTTCAGGTGTTTCACAACCAGCTCCCTCGCATTCAGCAATTGCGAGTCATTCGCTCCGCAGCTGAAACTGCACCACTCTGGGGAAACACGATCCAGTTAACATAAGGCGGTGGAATCTATTCCCCTCTCAGTTAGGCCTCAGGCAGGTTGGGGGCCAGGTCTCCTGCGCTGCCATCTCAACTGGGGCAAGTTGCCTACCAGCCCACTCGAGAGGGGAGAAGGGGGGTGGGACACAAAAAGAGAGAAGCGACGAAAGGTGCTGACACCGCGGCCAGGGTTATGTCACACCCTGCTCTGACGCTAGGAGCCCACACATCCGCTCCTCCCCAGCATCTAAAGCACTTGCAGTCCAGGCCTCTAACTGCTTTAACATAATACGAAGAAAACAACAGTTCGAGTCCTGCCGCCCCGGCCACACGGGATCACCTTAGAGCAGAAAAGGAACAAAATGCCATTGCATAATTTATTCGACCTCAAGGTGTTTCTAAACAGCTCTTACCCAGGCAAAAAAAAAGAATCTAAAAATAAAAACGTTAAAAAGCCACCCACATTCCGCTCCGAAGTTTTAAGGGCGGTGAGGTCTGTGTCAAGTAGATTTGAAGCTAACGACACAGGCTTGGGGAGTCCCGCCAGGGGTGAGGGTCCTCGCACACCGTTTCTGTGTCTCCGGATAAGCCCCCGGCCCGTGTCTGGATGCCAGGCCCTGCCCTCCGAGCCCCCGGGAGAGGCTCCGGACATCCCGGAACCCCGCCTGTGGTTCCCACGGACTTTGCCCCGAGGCTGCGGAGCCCTGCGGCGGAGATGGTGGGCCCAGAAGGCAGGAGCCCCACGCCCCGGCGCCTTGGGGGCCCGTGGCCCCGCACTCACCGAAGTCCAGGAACTGCTTGATGGAGAGCGGCGACGGCGAGAAGCGCGAGTAGCGCTCGATCTGCTTGGGCACCGGCTGCTTCAGCAGCCACCGGAACAGCCGCATCCTCGCCGGGGCAGCGCACAGATCAGCCGAGACGCTCAGGCAGCCGCAAGGACCGGTGCAGCCGAGCCGCGCGGATCCGGCACGTTCGCCAAGCGCGCACCTCGGCCTCCGCCTCGGCCTCGGCACCGCGGGTGCAGCCGCCGCAGCAGCAGCAGCAGCTCCCGGGCCGCAGCCGGCCGCCCGCGGCTTGCCCAGGCCCCGCCCACGGGGGCGGAGCCGGCCGCCGCACGTACGCGGCGCGCGAGGTGCGCGGGGGGCACGAGGGGCGCGCGGCCGCACGCGCCGGCCGCTGATTGGCCGCCGGCGCCTTCGCTTTCTTTTGCGGGCGGGCGGGCGGCGGGCGGGCGGCGGGCGGCGGGCGGTGGCGCCTGCCTCCCTGGCTCCTCGGACCCTGCAGGCTGGCAAGTGCCGCCGGCTAGGTCCTACGCTGCCGAAAGGTGACGGAGATGCCAGGGCACTGGGTGCAGGCCCGGAGCCCACCCCCAAGAGATCCGATCTTAGGCGCCGCTCAAAGCCCTTCTTCCGGGAGGCCTTTCCTGGATGGGCTGAAGGTTGCACTTGAGGGTGTTCCTTACATCTTCGTACTTTGATTTTCCTGTTCTGTTTACCGCTTAATTATAGTGGCTGTTCCGTGCCCTCCACCACTACCACCACATTTGGGCAAAATTAAATGTAAACTCACTGGCTCTGTGTCATGCCAGCCCCTGATCTTGGGAGAGGATTAATTGTAACGCCACCGGCTCTGTGTTTCGTGGGTCACCCCCCCCCGCCCCCACCTCTCCACCCTCCCACCTCCTCTCTTTTGAACACCCTTGGGCAGGATTGTTAGGTCACTGTTTCATGGCCCGCCGCCCCTCGTTCCCCACTCGGACCAACACCTTTGGACAAGATTAGTTAAATCACTGTTTCATACCACTACCACCACCATCGGAAAGGATCAAATTGAAGGTCACTGGCACTTTCATAACCCGTTACCTCCAGCGCCACCGTAGGACAGCTCCCTGACTGTTCATGCTTTGCCAACACCAGCACCGCTATTTTTGGACAGGAGTCTAGGCTTACGCTATGTGTTGGCTATTTTGTCTGCATAAGAGTGAATTTGAACTGAAGGCTCGGTATATGAAATCACTATTTCCTAATGTGAGGTATGAAGTACTACTTGCTTAACCATTTCCACCAAACCTTGCTTTATTTTGGCAATGTGGAAACATCAACTAAAATGAAAGGTAGAATGTTCTCTAAGGAAAGGTAAAAATGTAGCTGGAAACCACTCCTTTGGGCTGATTGACCTGGGTTTCTCACTAAATAGAATTATTGGTGTGTAGCTATTTAGCTTTTGTGCCTTCATTAGGTGTTTATGCACCCAACTCTTTGCTTAATAGCTGCATCTCTACTCTGAAGTTAAAAGTAATACATACACTCAAAGGCATCCAGTGGTCTTCCCACACTTCTAGATTTTCAAGTACATTTTGAACATCTTGGTGGTGGTATGGTATGTAGACTACCGTGTCTTTTCCATTCAAACCAAAGCCTAAAAGAGACATACTAACAACCTCTGTAACCGGGAGCTTTGCCGGCAGAGCTAAGCAGTCCTGTTGGTGTGCATGGGCAGACAAAGGAAGACCTGTGGCCTGTGGTTCCTCCAGTGACTGTCTCAGGTGCTACCTGCACGCAGAGTGTACTTGGTGGCAGTTGTGGTAGTCAGTGAGCAAGAAGTTGAATATCAGTGGAGAGGGAGGTTTCCCCAGCATAAACTGCAAATCACTGCTGATCTTTCTGAGTTGGCAAATCACCTGTTTCACTCCTCTTCCACTGAACAAAATGCTGCTTTAAATCCATGTATTCTGTTGATTTGATTACTTGAACTGTCATGTGCCTAGTTTTATTACTGCTTCTCCAAAAGGTAGCAAAGTCTTAGAAGTTGGGAACAATAAGAAAGAGCCTGGTTTAATACAAACTGTGCTGGTCCAGGGCTCAAACGACCTAGCTCCAAGCTTGGTTCTATCATTAACTAGCTGTATGACCTTAGACAAATCACTTAACTTTTATGTGTTTCAGTTACTTCTTATGTCAGATGGAGATGCCTGATTTCTCCCCCTGGTATTTGTGACAATCAAATGAAACAAATCATATTTAATATAAGCACAAGATGTTGTTGTACCTATTTATACAGCAATACACATATTTTTAGCTAATAGTTTCATATTAACTGGCAAAATCCAGAAGCTAAACCAGTGGGTTGATTTCAGTGCTAGTTGTAGTTATAAGATAAGTAAATAGATCTTAAGATAAATAAATAGATCTTGATGAACTTTTTTCATTTCTTTGTACACACCAAGATCTTGCGGAGGCCCTGCTCCCTGTGGCTCTCAAAGTAAGATCGGTGGACTGCAGCAGGAGTGTCACCTGGGAACTTGTTAGAAATGCGAACTCTTGGACCCCACCCCAGAGCTACTGAATCAGAAACTCTGGAGGTGGGGTCCGGCCATGTGTATTGTAACAAGCTCTGGGGGTCTTAAAGATATGGCCACAAATTCTTTGATATTCCTCCCCTCGAGAGATGGAGTTTAATTCTCCTCCCCTGGAGTGTGGGCTAGATTTAGTATTCGCTTCTAACAAATAGAGGATGCCAGGAGAGATGAGATCTCACTTCAAAGATTAGCTTATAAAACAACTTCAATCCTACAAATACCCTCCCAGTACTCCTCAAAGCTATCAAGGTCATTAAAAACAAGGAAAACCAGAGAAACTATCACAGCCAAGAGAAGCCTAAGGAGACATGACAACTAAACATAATGTCATATCCCACTTGGGATTCTGGAACACATGAAAGGACATTAGGTAAAAACAAAGGAAAGCAAAGTAAAAGATGGACTTTGGACCAAATTTGTATAGTAATAATGTATCAATATTTGTTCGTGAATTGTAATAAATGTACCATACTAATGCAAGATGTTAACAGTAGGGGAAACTGGGTATGGGGTGCATGGGAATTCTATGTACTATCTTCTCAATTTTGCTGTAAATCTGAAACTGTTCTAAAAAACAGTCAATTATACAATACAGTATTGTTAACTATACTCATCAAGTTATATGTTACAGCCCCAGAACTTATTTGTCTTATAACTGGGAGTTTTGAAAGTGGCTAAGAGAGCAGATCTTAAAAGTTCTCATCACTAGGAAAACAAAATTTGTAACTGTGTGAGTTGATGATGTTAACTAAATTTATTGTGGCAATCATTTCGCAATATATCCCTACATCAAATCATTATGTTGTACACCTGAAATTTATACAATATGGCAATTATATCTCAACAAAACTGGAAAAGAGCAGTACAAAATGTAAAATAAAATATGTTTCCGGGCCGGCCCCGTGGCCGAGTCGTTAAATTCACACACTCCTCTTCGGCAGCCCAGGGTTTCACCGGTTTGGATCCTGGGTGCGGACATGGCACCGCTCATCAGGCAACGCTGAGGCGGCATCCCACATGCCACAACTAGAAGGACCCACAACTAAAATATGCAACTATGTACGGGGGGGATTTGTGGAGAAAAAGAGAAGAGGCAACAGTTCTTAGCTCAGGTGCCAATCTTTAAATATATATATATATATATATATATATATATATATATATATGTTTCAAAGTGTAAAATAAAATATATTCTAATAATATAAAGAAAATATGTAAGATATTAATAAAAATATTTTTTAACCATAGAACTACTGAACATTTAAAGGACATGTATTACAAATAAAATAATAAGTCAACATTTGGATTCTATCTTGGCGTTTTCCCTCTCTTGCTCCCTGTCTGTCTCTCCGTCTCTGTCTCTGTCTCTCTCTCAGCAGCCACCAGCCGTGCTGTGAGGCAGCTCTGTGGAGAAGCCCGCAAGAGTGAGCTTGGAAGCAGAACCCTTAGGAAGCAGAGCCTTGCCCCGTCCGGCACCTTGATTGGAACTTCATGAGAGACCCTGAGCCACAGCCGCTCAGCTAAGCGGCTCCTGGACTCCTGACCCCATAGAAAGTCTCATAGTTTGTTGTGATAAATGTTTGTTGTTTGCAGCTGCTAAGTGTTGGGATCGTTTGTTATACAGTAATAGTTAACTAATCTCCAAGCCCTCCAGGTGATCCAGCCACGTGCTCAAGGGTGAAATCACTGTCCTACCCTGTGCTGTCTAATTCCCCCCCCGCCCCCCCCCCCCCGCTCCGTTCCTCCTGGCTGCTGCCTCAGGCCTCAGCAAAGTCATCCCGTAGACGTCCGGGGCGCCTTCCCTGACCACAAAGGCGATTCGTGCTTCATCCCCAGGGGCCAGCGTAAGTACCAGTTCCTCTTTAGGTTCACGACAAATATTTATTAAATAAATGAAAACCAACTACAATAACAATTAAACCTACCCCAAATCGCATTCCTTCCTATCAGCTCTCAATGGAGAACAAAGGCAAGGGTAGTGTTCCGAGTAATGCAAGCATTAATGGACACTTTATTAAATCATATTTTGATAGTCAAAAGCCAAAATCCAAAGGGGGGTGGAACAGATGAGGGGGAAAAAAACAAGCCCCTCATTATCTGCTCATCTGCCACTAGTTGGTGCATCTTGTTATAAAGTGCCTCCATTGTCACTTGACTTTACGAAATCCTGCTCTCCCTGTCTTTTCCTCCTTCTCTCCTCACTCTCAACTGACAATTTTTGAGCACCTGCTGTGTGAGAAGTGAGGTACTCTGTGAGAGTACCTACGTTGTCTCTTCACAGTAAATCTGATAGATGAATAGCATCCTCATTTTACAGGTGAGTGAACTAAGACACAGAAAGGTTAAAGTAATTTAAGATTACGCAGCTTATAAATAACAGTCTGGATTTGAATCCAGGTCTCCTGACTCTTGCTTCTATGTTCTTTCATAATACCAGCCTGCATTTTTTAAAGTAGACTTTAGGGGGCCAGCCCAGTGGTGCAGCGGTTAAGTTTGTACATTCCGCTTCAGCGGCCTGAGGTTCACCGGTTGTGATCCCGGGTGGGGACATGGCACCACTTGGCAAGCCATGCTGTGGTAGGTGTCCCACATATAAAGTGGAGGAAAACGGGCACGGATGTTAGCTCAGGGCCAGTCTTCCTCAGCAAAAAGGGGAGGATCGGTGGCAGATGTTAGCTCAGGGCTAATCTTCCTCAAAAAAAAAAAAAAGCAGACTTTAGTTTTTTTTTA